CCCCAAAACCCCAAAACCCCAAAACCCCATTTAAATAAATTAAATTGAATCTGAGGACTATGAACACCATTGCAAGGAAGTAAATAATCCCTTTCTCATTTATATCTAACTCAGTTAAACCCTAAGAACATAGATCTAGGATGTTGGTTTAATATCTAAAATCCAGTTCAATAAAGCTCTTATTTTATCTTGTCCACTGAAAATTCAAGAAAAAAATGCTATTTTCATCAATTTCAAAGAATTTATTAACCATTCTATTTCTCATCGATTTAGGCCAATGAGTCAATGGAGGAACCCCAAAATATTATTTCCATTTGTGAAGAACATAAAGTTCTTTAAAGAACAAAACCTTGACCAGAGCGACTTAAAAACAATTTGAGAGCGACTAGAGGTTGTCCAGATGAGTGCAGGGAAAGATGTCTTCAAGTACGGTTATCATGGAGACAAGTTCTACATTATTCTTGAAGGGGAAGTATCTGTCCTCATCCCTAACAAGAAATAAGAACACACCTAGCAACTCAAAAATTTCTGGTGCAAGTATTCACACCAAAGTTTTAATGAAAAGACACAGAGCGTATTTTTGTAATTTATACTCTAGACTTAGCAAGGCTGAAGACTTGAACAGCAGCAAGGCATCAGAGAGGTGGTACAAAAGAGACAGGACTGAGAGTAATGCTGATAGCCACACTTCAAATCAGAATATCTCCATAAAGAAATCAAATAACAGAAATCATACCAGAGAAGGATTTAATTGTGACACTATTGTTGAAAAAGACAAGGATAGCAATAGAGAAGTATCATTTTAGCTTAATTTTAGATGAAATATAACCAAGTTGCTGTACTCAAATCAGGAGATAGCTTTGGAGAATTAGCCTTAATTAGTCTAAAGCCACGAGCAGCAACAATCAGATGCTTAACTGCATGCAAATTTGCTGTTTTATGTAAGTCTATGAGTTAAATATAGCCAAATAAATATTTTATCATCAAAGAAGACAAGATTAGTGAAAAAGTTGAATATCTAAGACAAATTCCATTCTTTAAGGATGCTACCAAGACAAAGTTATCGAAGTTCAGCTATTTCTTCGAAGAAAAATAAGTTCAAGAGAGGCCAGATAATTTACAAAGAAGGAGAGGAGTCCAAATTCGTCTACATAGTCAAGGAAGGAGAGTTTGATTTTTACAAAAGGATGCCTCCTGATTGAAATATAAAGATAGACTACACGGAATACCTATCTCAATATCCACAGAATGAGTATAAGGAGAAAGGCAATGGTATACTTGGAGAAAATGCAAGCCTTACTCAATGACATGTATGATAACTCCTTACTTCTAGATATCTTTGCTCGGAAAGGGAAAAATATTTGGTGAAGATGATGCCCTAATTTACGAACAATACACCAAATCATGAATCTGTAAATCTACAGAAGGAGTTCTCTTCTACGCATATGCAGGTGAATTTATCAGCCAGTTAAAGAATTTCTCTGATTATTGATATGAGTAAGAATCTAAAGTCTATTTTAGAAAAATGGTGGAAGATGCCTATTCCAAAAACATAAAGATAGATACAAAGATCCAGAAGAAAGCTATGCTAACTGACCAAAAGAACTTACATTCCACTCTTGAGCTCTGCTTAAAGTATTTTTTATCATAACTTCAGGATGAGGTATAAAAGAAGGAAGAAGAAAATTATCAAAAATAATTATTCACAAGACATTGAGCAAGAATCAGCAGATATCCTAGACATGTGACCAAAGCCAACACTTCAGAAAAAGAGAAACCGGAAGGTTATGATGAAGGAGCCCTCAAGAGCCACTAGAAATTTTAAGCAAACCATTGTTAGCACAGGAGCCTCAAAGGAAAATAAATCACTTTGTGAAGTTTCCAACTTTAGCGATAGTAAATATGTCAGCTTTTATAACTCTAAATAAGTTGGAGCCAAAGAAAGTGATTCGGAGAGTCACTGCCGTCAATCCCAATTTAGTGACCCTTTCTTTAAAGGCCAACCCTGATATCAGTGTCACTTCACAGGTAATTATTTTGGAGTTATTCATATTAATTTAATGTTAATGTCTCTTGCATAAAGTGATTTTAACCTGTTGAATATTTAGAGTAGACTTTCTGGGTCTCAAACAACATCAAATTTCAAGAAAAAGAGGCCCAGTACTGCGAACAAAACATCAAAATTCCGAATGGTTGAGGGGATCACGAATTCTATCGCAACTCCTCAGAAAAAGAAAAGCCTCTTACGCCAAGATGAAGAACTAAAAAGTAATGAGAATCCTAAACATTCAAAGAGTTATTGAACAGATTCAACTAATCCAATCCAGAGATCTCTTCTTTTCAGAGCTCAGCAGTCTAATTTTAGTAGTTTATATCTCACTCAGGATCATTTAAAATAAGAGGGCACTGAATAGGGTTGTCCATCATTCACAGAATGAAATAAAACAGGATATGTTACAAAATAACTACATAAATGTTCCTAAACTTTTGAAAAGTAGGCAACTCTTTAAACCTTATAGAAACTCCTTTCGATAGAATCCTCAAGACTCGTTCTAAGCGGTCGAGAATAATGCCCATTGCGTCCACGATACAGCCGAGGTCTGGCAGATTAGGATGCACTCTTAATTCTAAATATTAACTGGGTCAGCCAGATTTCAATCTAGATGTGGAATATAGGGGTTTTGGGGTTTTGGGGTTTTGGGGTTTTGGGG